CAGTTGTGGGGGTGGCTGGAGCCCCCCAGCAGGTCCAGAGCCTGCGAGCATGAAGCCTCCTGGAGCTGGAGGAACCAGGCTCGCTCAGTAGGCTCCCCTTGACTAGGTGGCCTAGAGCAGACCTCGGTCTCCGATTCCTCCCCTTCAGCTCTCAACCTGCTCGTGGCTGTTCTTCAGGGACAGCTCTCCACACTGGATCCACTCCTCAGTGGAGAGGGCTTCCAGCTCCTCCTGTTTGCTGCCCACGCTGCGCCACCAAAAAGGTCCTGAAGCAGCAGCTGGCAGTGTCTCCAGTCTCCAAACTGGCCTCTTCTGATGGTGGTCAGGCAGTCACGCACCGGGACAGAACCTGCTCCTGTCTGTGCCGGTTTCACAGCACGGCATTATGTGGAAAAACTGGGAATAAAATGGACTAGCCACTATTTTGTGCCCTTACTGCAGCAAAGGATTCACAAGTTCTGTGGAGAACAACGAGTCCCCATGACTTTACGCAATCTCAAGCCCGAGAAGACACCACCCTCACTTTAAAACTATCTAAGTTAGAAAACAAAAACTGTAATACATGGTAAATATGATCCCTCGTGCTGGCAACGCTGCAAATCTGCTTTGTTCCAAAAGTGACATCTGTTTGGAAACAGAGAAATCACACTTTATTACTCCAACACATCCACAACCTCCAGCTGAAAATGAAGCTGCCCCACGAAACATTTATAAAGCGTTTCAGTGTGTTGGGGGGTTTGTAAAGGCGTCTGAAAGGAGACAACGCTGCGGTGGGTTTCCATCTCAGCGCAGAACTGCGCACTCTCCCCTGAAAAAATGCTGCAGGACACAAACGCACAGGTTTTTGAGGACACCTTCCAGATCACCAGGTGACCTCAGCATCAACTCGTTTTCCAAAAGCCCACCTCTGTGACTACACCTTTTCTTCTACCACAGCACCGTGTACAGCCAGCTCGGACAAAGCCACGGAAACCTTCCTAAGACAAGACAGAAACAGGGACAGATCTTTCACGTTTCCGACGCCGCTCCAACAACAACCAGCTTCGAAGTCCAGGGTAATCATCGTTTACCACAACCCCAAGATATTTCAGACAGCTAAGCAGCCCACGAGAGAGCTGGTGCTCGTCTGAAGGACACAGGCAGCGGTCTGCGGTCTCCAGCTGCACCGTGGACTCAAAGCGCAGCGCTTCTCCCCGCTCAGCTCTGACCAAACCCGGCAGCAAGAGCCACCCGGGCCGGCCAGAGGCACCGTCAAGGCACCGACGCTCCCCTCGCCTGTGGCTGAAGATCCAGGGAACCCTTCTGGTCGCTAGAGCAATGCTGAACAGTCTCTCCAAAGCCCGTGGCATGACAGCTGGAGCGGCCTTCGCATTCGGCCCCGCACTGCAGGCAGCTGCTCTGGCAGCTGCTGACCTGCCACGTCTCCTCGCACGCCAGCATCATCCCTGTGCTTTAGAAAAAAGCCACAAAGCTTAAAAAAAAAAATATGTACTTTTCACGGACAGCTATGCTATGCAGACAGAAGATATTTTAACTTCTGAACAGCGTATTAGCAAAAAAAACCCCACCTTCAAATCTACACAAATAGCTCTGTAGGTGTTCAGGATTCTTTTCAGATTGCAAAAGAAATAGAAAAAACATTTACTCGCTTAGCTGCATGACACTCAGCGCAGAATTCGGTGTTGTGCTAGAACGTAGACATCCCGAGGCCATCTTCAGCTCCTGACACCTCGGTAATTAAGCAAGTTAGCTACTGAAGAGGAAAGACCTACAGGGAGAACCGATGGGATGCTCAGGGGAACAGCAGCAGCACCTTTCGCTCCAGGCCAGAACTCCGGCAGTGTCCCCACCGCAGCGACGGGAGAGCCAAGCTGGCAGAACGAGGGGGGCACAGGTCGGACGACGCCAACGCCACCCTTCTGCCAGACAGTTCCTGGGGCTTCCTGACTCGCCAGGAGCACGAGCTGGGTCTCGCCTCCAGCCATAATCCTGTAATTTTAATAACCCAATGCCAGGTGACACACTGGAATTCTCTTCCGACAGGCAACGCAGCTTCTGCTTCAACCCTGGCAAGACCACGAACCCCAGATGAGTTTGCACTTCAGTGCAAGACTGGATTAAAAGAATCTATGAAAACAGACAGCTCATCACCATGAATAACTGGAACTTGAAATCCATCATTTTAGCATCACGGAAACTTTGTTTCTCAGACACTCAAGCTCTTCAAGCGCTGGATACAGGGCTATGAGGATGAGGAGGGGACTGGAGCATCTCCCCTACGAGGAGAGGCTGAGGGAGCTGGGCTTGTTCAGCCTGGAGAAGAGAAAGCTGAGAGGGGACCTTCGAAATGCCTCTAAATATCTGCAGGGTGGGGTCAGGAGGATGGGGCCAGACTCTTCCCAGTGGTGCCCAGCGACAGGACAAGGGGCAATGGGCACAAACTGGAGCAGAGGAAGCTCCAGCTGAACCCGAGGAAGAACTTCTTCCCTCTGAGGGTGACGGAGCCCTGGCCCAGGCTGCCCAGGGAGGCTGTGGAGTCTCCTTCTCTGGAGATATTCCAGCCCCACCTGGCCGCGGTGCTGTGCAGCCTGCTGTAGGCAGGGGGTTGGACTGGGTGATCCCCAGAGGTCCTTTCCAAACCCAACCATTCTGTAATTCTGTGATTCTGTGACTCGGGTGTTGTGCTGGTGGCATGGGGGTGGGAGAACTGGGCTTGGCTACAACGTGGTACTGCACACCACAAAGCACGGTTTCTAGTCACTTCAGCCTCAAAACCGCGCTGAAGATCCAGTCCGTCCACACGGGTGCTGGGAGAGCAAGGCAAACGCCTTCTCCAGAACGCACCTCCAGGCGCCCGCTCAGCCGGGACATCCCGAGCCGCCCGAGCAGCTTCGCGTGGCCTTCAACAGGTCCTCTTCCATCAACTTGTTCTTCTTCAACCACGATTTCACAACACTGCGGCAAACAGGATCCACGTTCTGTGGGAAACCACCATTTCTTGACGCAAGTCCTACCCCACGCGACCATCGGTTCCTGCTGCGCCATTTCCCCACCGCTCCTCCGGCCGTTCGAGGGTGCCGCTCCGCCTGCCGCCTCTGCAACGCCGAGCACAACTTTCCAGACAAAAAACAGAACGTCCAGGTCACCTCTAACCATGCAACCGAGAGACGGCAACTTTATTTGCGAAACCAAACCGTAAAACTGAAAATAAGAGGAATTATTTTTCAGAATTCATTCATACACAAGATTAACATTTCTTGAACAAACTTATTTTTTGCAGTAAGAAAATAAAAACACAAACCCTTAACTCTTCTGGTTATTTTGCAACGCTGTTGTCTCGGCATGGCTTGTCCTGTGCGGGGTCCAAAAAGGCTGAACAGC